AAATCACCGGGCGGGTCAGGTCTCATTTAAAGAACGTCTCCAGCTCTAAAGAATTTTCCTTTGAATGGGGGTCTGGAAATGAATGGGGGTCTGGAGCATAGGACTTGAAAGCTGGTGTGATGCTGAGCGACCAACGTCAGCACAAGGCTTGAAAGCTGGTGTGATGCTGAGCAATGAATGGCGCTGCCAACGTCAGCACAAGGCTTGAAAGCTGGTGTGATGCTGCATGGGGCTTGAGAGCTGGTGTGATGCTGCACAACAGCCAGGTGGCATTTTGTCATTATCTTATAGTCCAACATTGATGAGGAAGTCATCGTCAAAAAATGGGCCACTGCGACATGGGATTTGTGTGACAGTAGCTGTTTGTTGATCTGTTTTTGGGTGTGGTGTCTCACCGTCACACAAGTGAAGGCTTCGTGGCCACAAACCCAGCAGCTCCGCGACCAAGTTTGTTGCACCATGGTTTGATGCCCGCTCCCACTTTCATAAGAGGCCGGCGTGAGCCTAGCCAAACATACAACACTGCAGCGTGCGCATGGGCCATGTGAACCGCTTGCTGAATACCAAGCCTTGACCAAATCCTATTCTTTGCAAACTCACTGGACATGTTCTTTGGAGACGTGTGTTTGATACCTCGTGTCCAAAAACATTCCTAGGCCTACACCATATTTATTGTATTTGACAGGGGCGCAGGGCACACACATATACAGTAATATACTAAGTACATTATGTTTTTCGCGCGCACAGCTCTGAAAAATTAAAAACAAAATCTCCCTGAGTAACACACCTCGTCAACGTCACGACCGGGTGGATCAAACGCCGTAAACCAGAGACCGAATGGGGACACAAGATACAGGCCGCAGCAACTTTTTTCACTGCTCTGGAGCGGACGGTAGCAGTGCTGAACACGACGCAAACTAGTCGACATCCTCCGGCACTTCAGCATCATCATTCAGCTCTTCCTCTTCGCCTCCCTCTGCGTCATCTCCTTTTTCATCGTCATTCTCTTCGCCCGCTGCTGCAGCAGCATCTCCCGTAGCTGTAGTCTCAAGCCCACCCGAACTGGCAGAGTTTGCTCCCTCCTGGCCTGCAAACAGCCAACAAAATGGCAAGCGTCCATCCCTTTAAACTTCAGTAGAACCTATAGTCGTCAAAGGGAATGGCGTCAAACGAGGCACGGGCCATCCATAATTTACACAAACGATAGAAGTGGTTTTCGCTATGGAGCGTTTGTGAACGAAAGACGACGACCTGCCTTTAGGTGTCTCGGGAGGTTGACCACTCTTGGGAAGTTGGCTTTGCAAGCTCGCCTAAAGCAAGAACCGTTGGTGTCGGGCGCTGAAAATTGTGGGCTGGAGAAACTGAGAACACGGCTGCCAACTCTTGACAGTAATCCAAAGGCTGCCCATCCTTTAGCGCTTTTCGAACAATCTCCTGAAGCGATGGGTTCACGAGCCCCCTCAAACCTAACATCGAACAAGCAAACAAAGGTCGGGAATGTAGAACTTGAGGGCAACTCATTTTTGCTTGTAGGGCTCACAGGTTGAGCCCCGGACCACGGCTTCTTTTGCCTTCGCAGTGTCAAGATATTTGCCACCAATGTGGATGATCTCACTGCCGTTGCATTTGATTCCAAAAATGTTGGTCCGCTTGTAGTAGCCGACGCCAACACTCCGCTTGGATCCTCCGGAGGTATGGTCCACTGTATGGATTTCGAAAACCCGGTCAAAGATTTGCGTCTAACAAATACACAAAACAATTCACAGAACAATGGAAAATGAATATGGAAACACAGGAGTGATGAACGAGATCTATGGCCTGACGCGGTCTCATCTGCAGCAGTAGCAGCAGCAGAATCGGAACCAAAAGCAGCAGGACGCCGCAGAGCAGACGGCCTTTTCATTGGTTTTGCCTGATCGTCATCCTCAGCCTCAACCTGCTCGGGCTCTGGGGGGGTAGCACGCTCAGGCTCAGGGTTGGGCGGTGAAGGTGCAGACTTGCCCTTGGCTTTAGCCTTAGGTTTCGGAGCGGGGCTCTCAGACGCAGAAGGCCGCTTCATAGGCAACCTCTTCGGGGTCGTAGATCCCTTTGGGGTCGGCCTAAGCTTCGGCTTTGCCTTCGGAGTTGCCTCACACTCCTGGCGTACAGAGTTCGAATGATGCAGCATATCGCACCGGGCTGTACATCTTTCTTGGGATATCACACACGACACAGCTCACAGCCTCTCCTCGTCAGAAACAGTTGTGATTGCTGGGAGCACACTCATGGCTAACAACTAGTCTGACAGGCTGGCCAATCCAAGCTGAACGTCCCTTTCTCTACAGAACATTGGCGGCAAGCCGGCGCATTCAAAAACGTTCGGGACCATCCTTCTAAGTTAAGAACAAAACAGTTACCTTCAGGAACTCGTGTCTCATTTTGGCTCACGTTGGACATTGAACTGCCAGCAAAGTCTCAGGTTGGCTTCCATAGGCCAACCATAGATTTCCCGGAGACTGACTTGCCAAAACGAGCTGAATGGGTAAAACATGGTAAATTAAACACAACTCACCTGCGTAATAAATCTGCGGTCGGGAACCAAACATTGACTGGCGAAACAAAAGACTAGTGACTAGATGCCAATCCAGCTCAACTCTCGCGCCGGGTTTGATATTCTGACTCTGGCCATCTCTGGCCAACGTCTGGCGACAAAAGAACCTTTTGTCATAAAACACTTTCTTTCTAGCGTCAGGGCTTCAATTTACAAGAATCATCGCCAGCGCTGTCATCTTTCATAGCTTCACCAAGTGGGACGGTGGCAACCGAAGAGAGCATGTGAGATACACCTTGGGCTTGACAGGAACAATCTTTGGCGTGGAGCCACCAGCTTGCAACTGCACCTGAGCGACAAGAATGATGCCAACACGCAAGACACAAAAATACAGCCACGTGTTTGTGTAACCAATGATGAACCCAAACAAAAAGAAGCCCAAGCACCTCCCATACCAAGGAAGCGATCTTCGAGACCTCTTGCCGGGGAATGAACTGCATGTTCCCATTGAACACAGCACCCAAACTCCAAGTCTTGTGGCTCTGATGATCGAAGCTAGCTGCCAACGCGTTCGCCTTGTAGCAATTTGTTTTGCCAGTGCTGACCCCAGAGATGTCGTAGCGGTACGGGATCTCACTCTCCTCACCCTCTGCCTTAGGTGCAGCTGTTAAGAAAATTGTTCATCATATATAACTGTATATATTATATGGATGGATGAATCATATATGTATAACTGTATGTTTATGATACTCTTCATACTTGGACCAAACATGAAATGAACCACTGGCTGCCAAAGGGCGGGGCTTGGGTTCCTCTTCTGAGAGATCTCGTGGTCGAAAATGGTGATGTCCGCGATTCCTCTCTCTCTCGCCATTTTGCAAATGAATGAGCACACTGGCATGGCCTGCCTCTCAAAAGCCACTAGGCTCATGTCAGACATCAAGCGCCAAGGAAGGCATTGGGTTTCATCCTGTCCAGATCCTTGGTTTTGAACAGCAAAACGACGCTATCAGGTTGCCAGTGAAACCGCACGGATCGAAACGATTCGAACAACAATCTTTTGTTAAAGGAACAAAAAATACACCTGAATCCTGCAAGCCCTTCATCTGGATAACGGGCAAGAATCCGTGAACGATCTTAACTTCAAATGAGCCGGTGTTGAAGGCAAAAAGTTCGCCAGCATCAAGAACCATCTCCTCGCTGGTGAAATTGGCCAGGTAGATTTTGAAGTCTTTGGCGACGATGATCGATGGCTTGTTGCCTCGTCCAGGACAATGGGCCAACCTGATCGTCTGTTGAAAAACAGCCGGATAAATAGCGGGAAAAAACAACACGGGTTGAAACTAAAAACGTCCCATGTAGAAAAAATACTATCAATTTAATAAAAGCCACTTCTCCTCTGCGAAATCATCCGTCTTGATCTTGGCCAGATCCACCTCCCGAGCAAGGTCCAGAACGTCTGTGCCTGTGAAGTCTGGGCTGCCCGCTGCCCTTGCCGGAGCTCGCCGAGCACTTCCAGTGGTTGGCGCTGCTGTTGCTGCTCTTGGCCATGCGTCTTCCAAGTCCTTCTTCCACTTCAAGACTTCCGTGTGTTGCTCGGTCCCCGGCGCAAACTTGCCCAAGATCGACTCCGGAAACGATGGGCCATCGGTTCCCCACAAGAGCGCGGTCAAACGTGGAACCTGAGCTTCTTCTCGTGGTCGTGTTTTTGCTGGGGCGGTGCCACTGTTGTCCCACGCATTGTACACCATCTCCTCCAATTGCAGGATCACATCTTTTTGAGATTCTCTCAGCAACCCGACATAGCTGAGCTTAGGCCACTTGCCGTCCAATTTCTTTGTGACAAGCGCTCGCCCGAATTCAGCGTACCTGCAAACAGATATAATATACCGCTCTTAGGGTTTCGTAACAAAACACTTGAAATTTTGCAAGTACAATGAGCTCCCACGTTGCTTCATACTTGTAAACCAGGAGAATGTGCACAAGGCACAGGTTTGTTGAAGCCTGCAATTGGGAAATAGCTGCGCTTATACTTATATATATGTTGTAAATTCAAAAAACAACACGACGTTCAATGGCCTGTTTGGGAGCAAGTCGAAAATCACCATGTGGTCTTCCTCCCCCATCTCGAGGCCGCTCAGGTAAGACTCGACGATGGCAACGTGGGCCGCAACCCCCTTCCTTGCCAGAAGTATAGGACACATGAAAGGACAGCTGGTGGAAGAAGTGGCATGGGCATGGGGTTGAATTCTTTCAAGGAACTACACCCACACCCGGTTTCTATTGAAAAACCAACTTGACGAACACTAGCCTGAGCATCTGTTCAGCCCGAGCAGTGGCACCGGGGCGGCTGTCCGGATCATATCCCAACATGTCGCTGACTTTCACAAGGCTGAGGGGTCCAATGGACATTGGCAAGCTCCACGGGGATGCTTTGGGGTCCTGACAAACAGCGACGCACGTTTGCACACCACCCCGACGATCTGCAGCTGTCGAATCAGATGGCTTCTCAAACACCACCGCCACTGTGTTGGTGATGTCAAAGCCATTGGTAAGAAGAGCGTCTTCAATCACTCTTCTATGCTTCACCAGCGCCCCCGACGTCGTGTTTGTCTGTGGGATTGGAAGCTGTACATGCCCAAGGTTGCGCCCTGCCATCCCCAACACAGTAGTCAGAATCTGGAAAGCGCACATCAACTGCTTGCTGTTGGCAGGGAAAATTGTAGCATCGAGCATCACCAAAACATACCTTGGGTCAAAAAACCATTCATTTGAAAATGCAACAAGTTGTTTGGGAGGCCACTAACCCTTTCAAAAATCGTTCCCAATGTTTAGTTTGCATCACACGACACTTCCCTACCTGTGTTGGGCCACATGCCTTCAGTAACCCCTTTGACCGACGGGGGCCAAACAAATACGCGATCAATATGAGCCAGAAAGCGAATCACTGCCTTTCTTCCCGCAATTGCTCATGTGCTGGGCAAGGTCTCTGACTGCAAGTGACATAGTGTCATCCACAAGGAGCAATCGACAGTTCTTCTCCATCCAGTCGCGGGTGTAGGCTTGACCCTTCCTCAGATTTGAATAACCGTCAGACACCAACCGTCAAGCATCGCCGAACTCATGTAAATCGAAACGACACTGCTACCCTCTCCGGCACTGCAAAGTAGAGAGACTCACAACAAGTTATGCGCAGTGACCTCTGATAAGAAAAAGAGAAGCAGCAGAGCAGAGAGACAACACAATAAGCGGGCAACAAACCGCACCACACACTGTTTTGGTAACATTGAAAAGCCAACCAACAACCATTGAGCGGCTGCTGCCGCTGTCGCAAGTATTGAACATCTTGGGCTGCTTCCTTCGCCTCTTTCTGCTTGGAAGGAAGGTGTTCCTTGAGTACTTCAAAGTCAGCCTTCACCTTCAATCGAAGCTGCTCAAGCGTTGCCTTCGCAACAGTCTCCTTCAGCTCTCGATTCTTCTCTTCAAGCTCTCGAGCATTGCGGTTCTCGATCTCCTGTGAAACGCTCCTTGCAGGAATCAGCCAAAAGTTAGAGTTCAGTTGAAAAACAGACCTGGAGTGGAGAAAACGGGCGACCCTAAGTTTTTGTCAGAACGCGTGAACCCATCCAAACCTCCCAACCCTTTCCTCAAAAAACCCACGGCTTCCAGGTTGGCAGGTGGGACAGTGGTTTCTAGTGCGTGGGTGATGTCCGGATCAAGGTATCCTGACATGAACTGGACATCAATGCTTTTGGCAACATGCTCGTACTCAGATTTGGGAACCTTACTCTTCAGGGCAGCCATAAAGTGGAGATAGCCACCACAAATCGCATGCATTGCCACAGTCTCGCGATGGCCCCAGGGCTTGCGCAAGGTCGGAGGCTGCTTATCCCAATCAGAGCACATTCGACGCACCAAGAGCAGTGCCTGAAATATGGGTAGATAGTTAGACACTAAAACCAGCCATGCTCAAACAAACGGGCGGTTTTCCGGAAACTTCCGGCGGCCGTCAAACTTTCATAAGTTTGCTCATTTGATCATGTCCCCCAACAATTCTGCAGTGCAGGCTTGCCCGGGCGAAACCCGTATGAGTCCACATACCAAGACACTAATTCGGTGTCGTCATTGCCCTTGTTAGTAAGTGGAGCGTCCCATGCACTCAGCGTCCCCACGCCAGAAGAATACGCCGAATTGAATACCTCCTTGCTCACGGTGTCGTGTGACAGGAAACATCTCATGCCCCGAATCCGAACTGCATCTCGCAGGGCAACCACTACGGGCGGAGGCACATTCTTTCGCAAATGGAAAAGAGCTTGGCCTTCTGCCTTTCCGATGTCAAAGGCCCGAGACACTGAGGCTGCAGATTTCCACGCCTCATGGGAGTGTCTTGAGGCCACACATGGAAACACGCATGAGTTTGAACACAAAAGCTAACTAAACCTAGCGTTGGGACGGAGGACCAGGACCTCAACTAATGTGGTCAAGTCACCGACTCCGCAGCGGTGACAGAGCCAGCTCGCTCAAGTACATCAAGTTGACGCATCAAGTTGAACACGTGTGGTGGTCTGCGAGTGCTGGTGGAAGCCATGGTGATGCCTGCACGCCGGGAAATCAATTTAATCAACTTGGTGAAAAGTAGCTGAAAATGAATGGTTGCCAAATGTCAAACGTCAGTCAGGCACGGGCAAAAGGAAAATTGTTCAGACCTGAAGAGTCATGACTACCCTACACCGGAAGAATCACCAAGCCACCCCTTGACGCCAGGACTTGCTCTTGCACGTCACCGTAACGACCCACGGTCGTGTAGATGGTGCGCATCGAGGCCTCGCAAGACTTGGATTCTGCCTGACACTAACGATTCAATTCCCATTCAAAGCAAAGTTCCATCGATAGCTGACTGCAGAATAGAATGCGCTAAGCCTTGCCTTGTACTCGGCGGAGACTTCGTCCAAAATCCCTAGAGTCTTGACTGCATCTGCCACGATCAGGCAAGCCACGCTCCTCCTCCAACCCTTTATGTAGCCCACAGAGAAGGGCGGAAGTGTGTCACCTCCGTAGCAACGTCAAATTTACGGGCACATGGTGGGGAAACATGGAACATAACATTTATTGCTTAGAACAAAAACCGCTTGGCCCCAGACCAGCATCTGGAAGCTTTGGGAGAGGCACATAACGAGATTCAAGAAAGGACGAGTCTGGCTGGATGACGGCTAAACGCTCAACGCCTGGAAGGTCTGGATCTGTCCTGAACCTTGCACAGGAACTCGAACCGTGGAAGACATGACTGCCGGAATGAAGGCCAAAAATGTACACAATGGTTTCAATGCGCCTTGAGAAGTCCATGGACGCATTCACAAAAAAGAGAGCTTTACCGTCAAAAATTGCTTCCAACGGGCAAAAGTAAAGCTTAATGTCTTAGAAGAGGAGCCCATCTAACAAGATCATTTCAGCCAAGGTCAACATCTCGTCCGGCTCCAATATGGAGCTCAGCCCAAAATCTGAGCGCCACGACAAGTGAAACGGCCGGATGACCTGAGGGCCCTGAACCAAGGCATCGCAATATGTTTGCCTGGCAGGCAAAGAAACCCCTTGCTTTTCTGAACCTGGACATAGGCGCCTGGAATCTTCTGGAAATGAAACGTTGAGCCAGTTGGCAAATTCGAGCTTTTTCTCCTGCAAGAAGAACTACACAGTGGACACTTGAGGTCGACAAAGGAAACATGCGGTCCTTGGTTGGATACTTGCTCTCCAGATATTTGTCCGGCCCACCACCAGCCACGACATTATCCTCGAGCCTAAAAAACTTGATGGATGAGAAGTTTGGGCTGCACCGCATGAATCATCGCACAAAAAAATGCAGCTGGAAAACCATTTGACAACACGCGCCACATCTGAGCGAGCGCCCAAATCACTGCTTGATGCCCCCTTCCCAATCTTCGATTTCGGCCCGCCGCCACCTGATACCTTACGCTTACCTGCCATGGCAAGCGTTGACCAGTGACACTGGCCTGAGCTAAAAAGAACCTGTCAGAAGAAACAAGCAAACTAGAATCAGACTGACACCAACTTGCACCGTCTTGCAAGCGATCCAAAGGCTCCTGGCACAACAGCAGTTTTTGTCGGCAAGCGGTTGAATCATCATCTACGATAGCACATCTCTCACTCAGTGCACAGCGGCCGTCACATTGGCCCTGACAAACAAGAAACTGGGAAACACACGTGCTACCGGCGCTACTTAGCAACTTGACAGACTTGACAAGAACCGGCCGCTGCAGGCCACGAGTTAAAAAAAATGCTCTTTTTTGGTGTGGGCGGATCGCGCGGTGGCTCAAGGCAGAGATGCACAAACAACGACACCACGCTTTGGCTTCAAAACTCTTGGCTTGTCGTATTCATGAGGGCTTTCCAACTCCCAAGCAAACACTTGCCTGTACGTTTTCAAAACTGGGAAATCCTTCACACACCCAAGTTGGTGCTTGTGAATGTTCTCCCGCAAAAACAGAAAGTCGCGCGGGGCGCAGTCAGGCGGTACCAGGAAGCTCCCCTTTCGTTGGGCCACTTTCCGACTTCCAACAAGACACACCTCTCCCAGCAACAATGTTTGTCCAGTTGGCGAAGATTTCGCTGTACTGGCTATACCAATGCGACCGCGTTTCTGACAATTTTTGTTTCTCAGCTCCCATGTTTTTCCATGTCTCAGAATCCGCAAGCACCATTTGTGGTCAATCAAAAGGACAGACTTGATGGGCGTCTCACCGAGAGCATCCGCCATTGAGCTCGGCGCTACGCACGGGCTAATGACACAACTCTTAAACGCAAACAGTTCAATGTGAATCTTTCCCTTGTGTCTCTTGAAGGTTTCAAATGGACGTGCGCTGTATATGGGCCTGACAAGCGACAGCATCTGAGCAATGGCATGGGCTTTGATGAACTCCGTTTCAATTCTCCCAGACAGCCGCCCACCAAAACCGTTACCCTGTTTCTAGCCTAGCTAACTGCTTTCGAAGGCCAGACTCCTAGACTAACCCCTTCCAAAAAAGGTCAAGAGACCACAAGACCGCAAAAGTAAATAGGGCCAACTGTAGTGTAGTTTGCCCTAATTATGTTGCGTCCTCTTGACCTCTCTTGGCTGACTTGGAAGTGAAAAACACACGTGGTTAAATTTTGGCTGGTTCATTTTTGGCTTTTGGGGCAACCTGACGTGGGGCTGGGGCGTCGGCGTTTTCTGCTTTAAGGACGAGGGACAAGTTATCCCCCATTGCCGAACCGCTGGAAGCAGCTGCTGCTGACTTGTTGAATGACAGACTTTGGGGCCCTTCAAAGTCTGCTGAAAAACATTAAGGAGAGCTCTATGGAGTTCTCCAGCGCATATGTTTTTTAATTTATAGATCTTATATATGGGGAGGGGTTGGGTGGACTCATTCACAAATTGCCACCTTGCTTGGGCAAGGGCAGGTGCCATGCTGGCCGAAAATCGGTGTTCATCCGGGCCTTAGTGCTAAGGCCCGGATTTGGGGCCGATATTTATATAGTTCTACTTATTACGTAGGCTAACTTTCAACTTTTGGCATAGATAAGTCCTAGGATACCCACTCCTAGCTTATACCTCAAGGAAAACGCATGAGAAGGATTTGACCCAACTCTGTTTCCACTACATCATTGGAGATGGATCTGACCCAGATCCGTCTCCAATCTCAAAGCGGAGACGGATCTGACCCAGATCCGTCTCCAATCTCAAAGCAGAGACGGATCTGACCCAGATCCGTCTCCAATGCCAAAACGGAGACGTCCAATGTCAAAGCGGAGACGGATCTGACCCAGATCCGTCTCCAATGTCAGACCTGGGCCATCTCCAAGTTCACATTGGAGACGGATCTGAGTCAGATCCGTCTCCAAATATAGTTTTGAAAATTTTACGCAAAAGGCAAATTACATTGCAAAATCCATCTCCATTTCACCCTTCTCCAGAACTAGCAATTGGAGATGGATCCGAGGTCGGATCCATCTCCAAACCCTACCCTGCGCTAGACCTCAAATTTATTGATTTTCACATCTCACCCACATCTCTAACCCAGCAGCGCAATTGGAGATGGATCCGACCTCGGATCCGTCTCCAATTCCACCCCTCCCTGCCATTGGAATTGGAGATGGATCCTAGGTAGGATCCATCTCCAATTCCGACCTGGGCATATCTATAATCTGTATACGTTTTTGAAAATACCTGTGTAAATGTCCATGCCGCACCCAAAATCTCACGACGTTTAGGGTTTAGGGTTTGCAAAAATGAAAAATTGAGGTATATGGCTGGCTGCCTGTTTGGACACTATCACTTCACGCTTTGCTTTGCAGGTGTAACCCTTTTCAGTTTGGTGTGAAAAAATAGACCGGCGCCTTTCTCTCCAGGTTGAATCCACGGCTTGACCGTGAAACTCACCTCAGAAACGTGGCGCAACCACGCTTTGGAAGCCCCTATGTCCAGGACTGCTTCGTGCCAGGAAAAATTAGTTGATTGATATTCTTAGATTCAACTGCTTTTTTTCCACGTGAGCTTCACCTGGCTGCCAAGTCAAGACTGCCCATTTTGTCCGGACCTGCACTTCTCCCTCCTGGGGAGGCAAGCCACCACAACAAGTAGCTGTCTCATAAACAAGTGAGAGAGAGCCTACGATCGACCCATTTAAAGTTACGGTGAGGGTAGCTTCTATACAGGTTGGGAACATGGCTAGGAGCTGGGTACCTTGACCTTTTCTCTACCACCGAACGCAAAGAGTGAGAACAAGATCCGGATTGAAAAACGCTTCGAAACTATCTACCAATCACTCTGAAGAATACCGACTTCTCCCTTGAAATCTGACCCCACAACGTCAGGCCAATCTCAAAGAAATGCCTGAGTTGTTTGAAAGGTTTGCCTGAGGTTCTGGGGTCAGATTTGCAAGCCGGCCCAAGCGGAAAATTGGCAGTGTGACTACTTACACATCCTTGATAGCCTAATCCGATTTCAAGGTTGAACCCCCGGAAGGCTTCCACATGTTCCAGCTATTGAATTGGGCATCATCCTGGCGCTACAGAATTAGCACGACTTCCATCCTGACGCCAGGCTTCTGGCGCAAGCCGGAAACCAAAGATTCAAAGATTAATTTTGTCATCGAATTTAGTGGTCGGCGCGTTCAGGACGCATCAGAAACTAGCAGCAATCACACCTGTCGGTTCTCTTCGGGGTTTAGATGTAGAACATTGTAAAACACAGTCACAATTATACTTTGAGGGTTGCCAACCGTGCAACGCAAACACAGCCGCCACTGATTCTCTACTCTACCAATCAACCTGACCCTCTAAACATCTCGCAAACACGGAAACAGCCAAGAAGGCTTGCGCAGGGACAACAATGTTTCCGAGGGTGTTCATCCGATTCTTCGAACAAAGAGTTTGTTCCTCGGACAACCACTTGTGCATCTCCAACCTGCTGCCGGCGTTCCACGCCTGATCTGCGCAATGCCTCAGAGAGGGAAAGGCGTCCTGCACCAAATACAGGGCGCAAACCAGTTGTGGCTGTTGGACAAACACGACGCACTGGCATAGATACTGAGT